TCTGTCTGACCTGCCTGGAGAGGCTGTGCACCAAGCCCCTAGCTGGCTCTAGGCTGAGCCTGCGAGGGGGGAGGAGCCCTTTAAGAGCCTCACGCTGAGCTGCAGTCTTGGCAGGAGGCCAGAGCTGGGGCTTTGATTTCCTCGGGGGCTCTGGCAGCAGCGGGAGCGACAGGGACAGCGGCAGGCGGCTGAATGGAGTGCTCAGCCCCTGACCTCACCCTGCTGGCGGCGCCTAGGCCTGCACAGCCTTATAAGGCAATGCCCCAAACAAACCGAGGAAGCTACCTCAGCCCCTCCCCGCTGCCAGCCCTATTCTGAGGTTATATTTACCCGGAGGAGCCCCAGAATAGCCTCCCACTTGTCCTCTGGGGTGGGGGTGGGGTGCTTTCTTCCTTCCCCCTCCTCATTCCCTCCCCTGGGGACTCCACCCTCAGAAGTGTGTCCTTTCTGCTAGCCATTCATTCATTCATTCATTCACTCATTCATTCTCAGTGTACAGAGCTGGGCTCCTAGTCCTGGCATGGAGCAGGACATAGTACTTACTATGAGCCCTGATGGAGGCCTCCCAGCCCCACCGGCCCCAGCCCTCCATCCTCCAGCACTTTGGGGACCCCTTGTCCAGCTCCTTTGCAGATGTCCCTTTGTTGGGAAGTCCTTGGAGGTGCTGCCCAGGTGCCTCCTCATCCCCTGTGCCCTCCTGTGGGGGATCTCTGGTCAATTCTTTTTTCCCCCTAGTATTAGAGATTGAACCCAGGGCCTTTGGCTACATGCTCTGTCTGACTTGTATTGATTTTGAGACCAGGTTGCTAAATTGCCCGCCTGGGCTGGAACTTGCGCTCCTCCTCCATCAGCCTCCCAGAGTGCTGAGATCACAGGCATGAGCAAGGCCGATCTCAGCTGACCCCACTCTCTCCAGCCTGGCCCTCTCTCCAGCCTGGCCCTCTCTCCTGAGCTCCACATCCACATATATACCTCTGCAGGGAGTCACAGTTTCCCACAGGATTCATCTCAGAAAGGGACAGCAGGATCTCCAGGCAGGCAGCCCAAAGATGGCAGCCAGGGATTCTGTAGTGCCCTTTGCCCCTCAATAACAGCTCCCCATGTCCTGAGACCCTACTCCCCTTCCGTTCTCTCCCCTGCCCCCCTGCCTGGGCCTGGCCTGGGCCTCTGGGCACCTCCTAAGACCTCAGGCCCACTCAAGTCACTCATGCCGTGCAGGGGCCGGAGGTTTGGGGAAAGCCTGCCTTCACCTCTACCCACAACCCCGGAGGCCCCCATGTCTCTTAGGAGGAGGTCCTGGCTTCTTCAGCCACTGACACTCTCCTGTCCGCTGGTCTTCTGTCTCCTTCACCTTCCAGCCACCCAGCCTGCTTCTTCAGCTGCCTTATGGTCTTAAGGTCCCCAAGGCAGCAGTCCCCTGCCTGACCTCCCAGCTCCCCAGCCCAGGTAGG